CTTTTTTCTTCTATAAAGATTACTTTTTTTGAAGAAAAATTAAGTGCTTCGGTAAGGGCTAGAGCAATATCGAATTTCTATTTATCGAAAGATCACGCCGTGCGCTTCTTCACTTTCAGTGAATGCGAAAAACATTATCTATTCATTAGATATAAATATGGATGCCGCTGCTATTCTGTCTCATTTCAACACAAGCGATGGTTTCAACAGCAATTCGTTGTTTCGTATTCGTTCTATTCAGGTAATTCTAAAATCTATTTTTTTTCCTATTCATCTAATGTCGAACAATCTTCCTTTTAAGCCTTACAGGTTTGATTCTTGTTTCGTTTTACATGTCCTGCTATTAATTTAGTATGTCAGTAGTTCGAGTGAAATCTCAATTCTGTCATGGGATATCTCAATATGATCGATGTTCACCAAATAGTGCGTGTGCCTGTTTCTATATAGCAGGTGCTATTGATATTGGCATTTGTGGTGATGAATTTGTGGATTGTTCTGAGTTAGTTCCATGCGAACGCTCAAACAACTTTTGTCATGAATCTAACCATAGATGTATTCATCATCCTCGATGTCATAATCTTCCTGTTTGTTATCCAGTACCGAGTTTCAATCGACAACTCTGTCCACCGAGAGCAAGTAAGAGAACAAACAGTGATCTACAGATTCAAGCGATACTCGAATCTTTCTTAAATTTATTTCTTCATCGGTCGTACACTCTCACATATGTAATTCATGTTGGGTGTGGATTTAAATAAAAAAGATCCACGCCCACACCCCGCAATAATTTTCGACCAGTTAAAATCTATCATCATTTGGCGCCTTTCACTTCATCTAGTTATATATCAAAGAAAGTGAATCGAAGAATGACATTGAAACATGTCATTTTGATATGTTTTTAATTTTGAAATACAGAATGAAGAAATCATATTCTCAAATATATCGGTATCCTAAAAATTCCATTTCTGAGCTAATGCCAGATGTATATTATTAAATACAGTCTGTGTTCCAGCAAAAATGGAAGATATAATGAAAATATTGTTATTATAAATACTCTTCTTAAAATTTCAGATGAAAAATGTTTGGATATGTCTAATTCATTGAATATCAGAATTAAATGTATCTACTGAAAAGCTTTTTAATTAAATATTGTTTTCTTTTGACGAATAGCAACGAACACGACAATGACAACGATCATGACCACACCAATCACAACGACAAGTAAGTGCTTTAGTCTTTCTAGAACAAGAAAATTAAAAAAGAATAAAGAAATGTCATTGGAATGAGACTACACAAGTTCAGCGTGATCCATCTTCACTATCAACTTTTTTTTATCAATCAAATCTCTATTAAAGTGAAGAAAAGATAAAAACAACATTATTTCATATGATCACTATTTGAATTTATACTGTCAAGAATAAGATTCTATTTCGTTGATTCAGGTGAAGACTTCATCAGATATAGAACGAGACGAATAACACTGGAAAGCAGTCAAAATTGAAGTGATTCAGCTGATAGAGAAGAAGCTTTGCATCTAACGGCACAATTGACTATCAATTTTTTTCCTTGTCAATGGAATAGTCTCTGTTAATCAAAGATTTTCCGACTTGAAAATAATGAGTGTTTCTCTTCTGTACAGGGAAATCTTTTTGATTAATGACGATTTGAAGTAATAGTTCAGTATGTCAACGAGAACTTTACAATTTTTCAAAATATTTTGAAGAATTTTTGTTATTGCAAGAGTTTTCAGCTAAAAGCACACGATTTTCTTGTTTCCTCTCTATGAAGATTTTTGCTGAATACAAGAACTGATGACTTTTCTGCTTGTGTCACACCGAGTACTCTTTCAGATAAAAGACTATTTTTAGGATTCATCTCATAAGGCAACCTTTTCCGATGTAAAATCACTTTTTATCCGAGACTATTTTACAATTAGATCGGTCCCAGTGAGTAGTATAAAAGTGTATCTTGGTTTTGGTTCATAGATCTTCTAGGCTCAAATATTGCAGTTTTAGTCAATTTTCCAATATTTTTCAGGATTAGATTGCATTATACTTACTTCGAATTTGAGACCTGAAAATTGAACAGTGAGTAATTCTCAATTGCAGCAGTCAAAATCAAAAGTTTCAGAATTCTTTTAGTCATCGATGCAGAGATATGAATTTTAAAAACAAAGGGTCTTTTATCAATAGACTCAACAAGAGAATCAATTTTTTCGAAAATTCATATCTCAGGCCTGAAATCGGAAGTATGTGTAACGCACTCTAATCCTAAAATCTGCTGAAAAATCGGCTACAAATGCAATATCTCAGACCATGAAGCCTATGAATCAAAACCAAGATTTACTTTTATGCTACTCACTGGGATCTATCTAATGGCAATAGTGTTGGACGAAAAATGATTTCACACCTGAAGAGATTTTCTCGTCACTATTTATCATCTCACTTTTCCATACTGCTCAACTATTTCCATTGTTTAATCTTGGAGGTAATTTCGATAAGATGACATATGTGTGCGTCCTAATTCGATGAATAGTTATTATTCATTTAACAACGACTATTGATATTGACATTTCTGTTTCATTTATTTTGAATGTGTTTCATATAAAACCGTACAAACAAAGTTCACTTCTATGTTTATCATTTTTTGTCAGAAGAATCTTTTGTATTCAATAAATTGATACCTTTTGTCCTCTCCGTTTTCCTAGCTGTGCCTTCGTCAGTGATACCTAATATAGGTATTTGTGCAACTGCAACATGGGCTCAACATGGCCAAACTGTAGCTGGTGGCAATGGTAGTGGATCAGGATTGAACCAGTTAGATGGACCATTTGGATTATTTGTTGATGAGAATCAAACTATTTATGTGGCAGATCGCTATAATAATCGTATAATGAAATGGAAGCGTGACGCTTCGAGTGGTCAGTTAGTTGCAGGTGGAAAACGAGAAGGAGCTCGTGATGATCAATTGCATTACCCTATTGATGTTGTCGTCGATCAAGATGAAACAATATATATTTGTGACTATAATAATCGGCGTGTGCAGAAATGGTCTCGAGATGCTCAAAGTGGACAAACAATTATTCGAAATATCGCTGCTTCTGGCATAGCAAGAGATGATGAAGGATCACTCTATGTGTCTGGCTGGAGTGAGCACATTGTAAAAAAATGGCGTGTTGGTGAGACAATTGGACAAGTGATTGTTTCAGGACTTAATCGTCCTTGTTTACTGTTTGTTGATCTCAATCAATCTGTTGTTGTGGCTGATCAATTCAATCACAGAGTAATAAAGGTGGATAATGGAACAACACAAATCTCAATTGTTGCCGGTAATGGTTCTTTTGGTCGTAACGAAAACCAATTAAATTTGCCATTGAGTGTTGCTGTCGATCAGTTGGGTACGATCTATGTGGCTGATACTAAAAATCATCGAATAATGCGATGGCCACTTGGAGCTACATCCGGGAATGTTATTATCGGTGGTCGTGGCGAAGGTTCTCGATCTGATCAACTTAGTGAGCCCAGTGATTTATCATTCGATTCTGACGGAAATCTCTATGTTGTCGATGCGGGAAATCATCGTGTACAAAAATATTCCATTGATAAGAGTTTATGTTAACACATGTGAGTGAATTCGTATTTTCTACACCAAATTATTACTTCTTTTTTCAGAATAAACACAGCAGAAGATCATCGATATTGAAGTGCATACAAAAGAAATACTGATTAAAAGTGGTTATGATCATGTGCTGTATCTATCATTCTTTCTTTCTATCTCGAAATCGTAAAACGAGCTAAAATAAAGTTGCACACTTACGAACTGTTTGAAAATACAAATCAATCCAATACGAAACGTTCTTGGCAGACATTCATTTGCACAGACAACTTAGATGAGAATAGAAATGCTTTAATAGTTTCAATTAATCTAAAGCTAGATGTCTAATGATATCATATAATATTCTGTTTCTTGCTCGAGCAAGGAACATCATTGATGATTACTCGCTATCTTGCATATAAAGATTAGTTCAAAAAATTCGAATGAAGCTGTTTCATTCTTTAGTGAACTTTGCATCTATTTTTCTATTTGCAGTCAACTGATCTGTGTATGTGAATAGTTAAAATTGAATTGAATTTGAACAGAGAAAACAGTACATATCTGATCAATATTGCTTGCAGTAAAAAAAAACATCCAACGCTAGTTCCATTAAATCTTCTAAAATAAAAAAATGAATCAGCTTAATTGAGCATTTAACCTCCCATGTCGTAAAACATCACCTATGTTTGGACAATTAATCGCGATTGATCCTCGATTTCATTCTAATAAAACTCTGATTCCTGTTTTATATATGAAACCCGATATCAGATGTTCTTTCATTTGGAAAAGGAAAAAAACAACTATTGACATAGGTAAGTGTTGTTCGTATCTTTTCGCGTGTTTTAACTATCTCTTTCTATTTCAGGTTGATTTCTTTCGATTGATCGGTCGGTGATGCTGAAAGGTTTTGAGAAAATTATTTTACT